GTGGTGAGGTGTGTGGGGGTGGTAGTGTTGTGGTGAGGTTGTGTGGGGGTGGTAGTGTTGTGGTGAGGTGTGTGGGGGTGGTAGTGTTGTGGTGAGGTGTGTGTGGGGGGGTGGTAGTGTTGTGGTGAGGTGTGTGTAGGTGGTAGTAGTAAGAGGTGTGTGTGTGTGGGTGGTAGTCCAGGACTATTTCTCATGGTAATTAGCAGAAGGAGGGAGGAAGATAATATTTTCCGCCTTTCACAACTCCTACTCCTTCCTCATGGTCCTGCCTCCTGCCTACTCCTGCCTCATGGGCGAGTTCAGGGTAACAATGGCTACCAGCGCCAACACATCTACACACGTACCAGTGACATTACGGGCTCACCATAGCCCGTGCTACATGGACACTTCGTTCTGAGTAGCTAAATCTAAAACAACATCAGCCAGTGACATAGGGATCCAGAGACAAAAACAAAACAAATCACTTGATAATTATCACACGATTTAATAAAGAACGGACCGAAACGTCGTCACTTCTTCCCTTTCTGATGTATGGTTTGGCTGTCATATCTTCAGCCACGTTATTGGGACTCGTCGTCTGCAAATCTCCGAATGGTTACAATTGGCTCTTGTGTTCCTCTCTCTAGTTCCTCTCTCACAGAAGGAACCAAGGAGAGCCAGTCATAGGATTATAACCCGAGGAGGAAGGTTTGAGTCATGATGCAAAGTCATGTGACTTCTCGGTTACCGAACACGTGTCTTGTGGTCTGACACTATACCTGCCACCACCTGCGGTCCGCTCCAAGCAGCAGCCTAGTGGACCAAACTCTCACACGTCAAGCCTGGCCTCGGGCCGAGCAGGGGAGGAGAAGAACTCCCAGAACCCCATCAACCAGGCATCAACCAACCTCTCTTACTCTCCCTGCCACCACCACTCTGCCACCAACAGTCAACCAACAACCAGTCACGCACCTCTGCCACCACAAACGATCCCACAGAGTGCCAGTCACTGTTGTAATCGACAGTGTTGCAACAACACCAACAAAGACACATTCAAGGAACTGTTTGCAATTTTTGCAATTGCACAGTTACACTTGGCAGCATAGCAAGTAAGCAACTCTGCAATAGACCTACTAGCCAATTTATGTCAGGTCCTATTTAAATATACAATGCTATGCGAATCCTATTTTTAAATCGTACAAAAACAATTAACTTTAATAATGCCAGCTAGTAATGTATTGCCCTCGTCTTATTACCTTATTGGAAAACCAATTTTTCTATATCGTTTAAATCAGGATTTCTTCTATTACAACCATTATTATAATTTGTGATGTAATTCATGTCCCTGTTGTAACTATACTCTGTCCTCCGGTTTATGGAGAGGCTACTTTGAGTAGCCTCTCCAGAAACTTTGAGAGACTACTTTGAGTAGCCTCTCCAGAAAGCTCCAGAAATCCTTATAAATCGAGAGGATTTGTGTCCATTATATAATATATCATTCAAATGTCAGAGCATAACTAGCCGAGGCCTTAATATTATTGAAGGATATAATTGAGGAATAATGCCTGCTTCTATATAAAAAAATCAATTATATTATTTGACCTATTGTGTGGAATCATATATTAGTCTGGGTACGTTAACCATAGACCTAGAGTACGATAACCAGCCTCAAGGTTGTGTAACAGTCACGTGACGTCAATGTTCGTCTCGACAGGAAGAGAAAGTTGGACAAGACGCTCCAGTGTGTAGATCACACAGTTCCCCTCAAGGCTACGAGTAAGCAAGAGAGGACCTGGAAGGTGCAGGCGTCACTGTATACACTGAGCGGTGGAGTGAGGCGCGCCACTGTGGAAGGTATACACCTTCACCTCAGTGAGGCGCGCCACTGGGGAAGGTATACACCTTCACCTCAGTGAGGCGCGCCACTGTGGGGGAGGTATACACCTTCACCTGAGTGAGGCGCGCCACTGTGGGGAAGGTATACACCTTCACCTCAGTGAGGCGCGCCACTGGGGGGGAGGTATACACCTTCACCTCAGTGAGGCGCGCCACTGGGGGGGGGAGGTATACACCTTCACCTCAGTGAGGCGCGCCACTGGGGGAGAGGTATACACCATCACCTCAGTGAGGCGCGCCACTGGGGAAGGTATACACCTTCACCTCAGTGAGGCGCGCCACTGGGGGGGAGGTATACACCTTCACCTCAGTGAGGCGCGCCACTGGGGGGGAGGTATACACCTTCACCTCAGTGAGGCGCGCCACTGGGGAAGGTATACACCTTCACCTCAGTGAGGCGCGCCACTGGGGGGGGAGGTATACACCTTCACCTCAGTGAGGCGCGCCACTGGGGGAGAGGTATACACCATCACCTCAGTGAGGCGCGCCACTGGGGAAGGTATACACCTTCACCTCAGTGAGGCGCGCCACTGGGGGGGAGGTATACACCTTCACCTCAGTGAGGCGCGCCACTGGGGGGGAGGTATACACCTTCACCTCAGTGAGGCGCGCCACTGGGGTGGAGGTATACACCTTCACCTCAGTGAGGCGCGCCACTGGGGGAGAGGTATACACCATCACCTCAGTGAGGCGCGCCACTGGGGGAGAGGTATACACCATCACCTCAGTGAGGCGCGCCACTGGGGGAGGTATACACCTTCACCTCAGCTGACGACACCTGCCGCGCACTTGTCAGGTGTCCCTTACTGGCATATTATGAACTTTTAGTTTACTCACCTAGTTGTGCTTGCCACACTGCTTAATTGCGCTTCGCCTCTTTGGTCCCGCCTCTCAACTGTTAATCCAACCTGTCCTCCTTCCAAGAACGTCGCTTTTCGCTGGTATGTGTTGCCCAAGACCAAAAATTGTTGTACTTGAAAATGGAAGCGGCTGGCGAAAGTGACGTACTGTGCTGTTTTCTGTTTTGGGTTCTCTGGTAGGTTAGGATCAGGGGCCAGATTCACGAAAGCACTTACGCAAGCACTTACGAACGTGTAATCTTTTCTCAATCTTTGACGGCTTTGGTTACATTTATTAAACAGTTTACAAGCATGAAAACTTGCCAATCAACTGTTGTTATTGTTATAAACAGCCTCCTGGTGCTTCGGAGCTCATTAACTGTTTAATAATTGGAAACAAAGACGCCAAAGATTGAGAAAATATGTAAGTTCGTAAGTGTTTGCGTAAGTGCTTTCGTGAATCTGGCCCCTGGGCACTTTAAATTTACCGTTTTCTTGACGATGGGCAACCTTAGGAGGACGGGCTGGTCAGTCAACTGGTGTACAGGTTCCTGAGCCTATTGGGCTCTTATCATATCTACATTGGATACTGTGTATGGACTCCGCCTCCACCATATCACTGCCGAGTGCATTCCATTTCTTAACTATTCTGACACGGAAAAGTTGATTTCTAATATCGCTATGGCTCATTTGAGTAGTCAAGCCATCCTCCTGTTTCTATATTGCCTATTGTGACGGTCGTCAATAGTCACGAATTCGTATGTACTTAGCTGTTAGATAGCAGTATACTGACTAGTGAGGAATTCTTTTAAAATAAATGAAGCTAAAAAACAAACTTAAATATTCCTAGGCCTAGTATAGCACACATATGTACTACAGTAGGCCTCAGATATCGTATATTAGGCCTAGGGAGGTTATCAACAATGGGTTCGAGAACACGTCCATTGTACACAAAAATGATTGACTTCATGACGGTTCTTGTAAGCGTGTTCTACTTGCCTAAACGTTCCACATCTTAATTTAATAGATTGTTATGAGCTCCGTCACGATAGCTTAAACCTTTATATCCACTATACTTATACTTCTCATGGCAACCCTTGCTCTACGCCTCTCAAGGGAGATAACGCAACCCGTCCTCTTAAAAATAACGTCACTTTTGGCTCGTAATTTGAAATGAAATCGACTCACAAAAGTGACGTACTGTTCCGTTTTCTGTTTGAGTCGTCCGGCTCTCCTCGGACAGCTTAGAAGAGGAACTTTCAATTAAAATTTTTCATAACGTTTTGAAACTTTATGAGAATTTCCTGCCTACCTAACCTATCAGAGGACCCTTAACTTACTGTTGTTGAAAAAAAAATCCCCAATTTATTTTCAATTTTTTTTCATTTTCAAATTACGTCCATATTCGGCCATACGGATAAACGGCCAAAAGCGACGTTCTTTTTAAGAGGACAGGTTGCTGCCCAAAACTGCCCAGTATGACTTAGATAAAGTTGACCGTATTGCGGCATACCAACACTGTTCACGTTGCTAGTACGTCTCCTAGATATAAACGGTAACCTGTTGTTCACAAGTATCAAAAGAAGGCACCAAACCGGGGAGGCTATGTAGCACCACTATTGCTCACAAGAAAACACACCAAAGTTTGGTACCTGGGCAAGGTGGAGACATTTGTGCAGTGTTCCTTACCCACAATGCCTCTGTTCACCTTGCGGTAAATAGATACTATGGAGTTAGTCAGCTGTTGTGGGTTGCATTCTGGGGAAGATCAGTCATTAGCCTAGGGGAGGGGGACCTCGATAAGCCTAACACGCTTCCTGACACAATAAATTACAAATATTTGTGCTATAATCTCTCTAATCCCGAGATTACATTAGAGATCAAAAGGCTCTAATCATTAGAGATCAAGTCTCTAATCATTAGAGATCAAAAGTCTCTAATCATTAGAGATCAAAAGTCTCTTATCATTAGAGATCAAAAGTCTCTAATCCCGTTCTTCTAACAATCTACGAATATAATAAATTCCCAACTAGATAAATAAATAAATTTCTCAACATATTAAGTCAAATATGCTATTGTTTAAAAACAAAAATTAAAATAGCCTACTGCAGTGGCCCTGCCTACCATGTAACATTAGGCCTACTGAACGGAACTTTCCTCCCATGTGCCAGTAGGCCTACTCTAGTATTCCTTATCTTAATGTAAAGCGGTCAAGTCAAATATTAAATCAAACAAAATATTAGTTTAAATTGTGATACATAGGCCCATTAGCGTGTTTTAACTCACCTCAAGTGCTGTTAAATGCATAGTTTAATTAAGACGTTGATGGGAGATACTTTTGAGTATAAGGAGCTGAGATAATGTGTTCCTCAGTGCTGCACAGATGCGATTTGTTGCACAGTTACTCCTTAATGGTGCACAGTTACTCTTTAATGGTGCACAGTTACTCCTTAATGGTGCACAGTTACTCCTCAATGGTGCAGTTACTCCTTAATGGTGCACAGTTACTCCTCAATGGTGCACAGTTACTCCTTAATGGCGCACAGTTACTCCTTAATGGTGCACAGTTACTCCTTAATGGTGCACAGTTACTCCTTAATGGTGCACAGTTACTCCTCAATGGTGCACAGTTACTCCTTAATGGCGCACAGTTACTCCTTAATGGCGCACAGTTACTCCTTAATGGTGCACAGTTACTCCTTAATGGTGCACAGCTACTCCTTAATGGTGCACAGCTACTCCTTACTATTGCACAGATGCTACTTAATGTGGCACAGATATTGCTAAAGGTTGCAAAGATACTACTTAATGTTGTATAGATGTTCCTTCAGTAAGTTCTTACGCATTACAGCGATTCCTAATATAGAACGGATTATACATATGCATCAGAGGTGTTCCTTATGCATAATTTATGTATCACAGGTACAATTTAAGTATCACAGTGTTCCTTTGTTAATCCTGGTGTAGTTGTGTGGAACAAGTGTTCCTGATGTATTGCTACTGTTACGTAAGTGTTCTAGCGTTCAGTTATCATAGGTCCGTTCTTGTGTTCCTTGGGTTACTTTGACACTCGGTGAAGTTCCACAGTTCCTTGTATCACAATGATGTTCCACAGTTCCTTGTATCACAATGATGTTCCACAGTTCCTTGTGTCACAGTGATGTTCCACAGTTCCTTGTGTCACAGTGATGTTCCACAGTTCTTTGTGTCACAGTGATGTTCCACAGTTCCTTGTGTCACAGTGATGTTCCACAGTTCCTTGTGTCACAGTGATGTTCCACAGTTCCTTGTGTCACAGTGATGTTCCACAGTTCCTTGTGTCACAGTGATGTTCCACAGTTCCTTGTGTCACAGTGATGTTCCGCAGTTCCTTGTGTCACAGTGATGTTCCACAGTTCCTTGTGTCACAGTGATGTTCCACAGTTCCTTGTGTCACAGTGATGTTCCACAGTTCCTTGTGTCACAGTGATGTTCCACAGTTCCTTGTGTCACAGTGATGTTCCACTGTACCTTGTGTCACAGTGATGTTCCACAGTTCCTTGTGTCACAGTGATGTTCCGCAGTTCCTTGTGTCACAGTGATGTTCCACTGTACCTTGTGTCACAGTGATGTTCCACAGTTCCTTGTGTCACAGTTTCTTGTATCACAGTGATGTTCCGCAGTTCCTTGTGTCACAGTGATGTTCCACAGTTCCTTGTGTCACAGTGATGTTCCACAGTTCCTTGTCACAGTGACGTTCCACAGTTCCTTGTGTCACAGTGACGTTCCACAGTTCCTTGTGTCACAGTGATGTTCCACAGTTCCTTGTGTCACAGTGATGTTCCACAGTTCCTTGTGTCACAGTGATGTTCCACAGTTCCTTGTGTCACAGTGATGTTCCACAGTTCCTTGTGTCACAGTGATGTTCCACAGTTCCTTGTGTCACAGTGACGTTCCACAGTTCCTTGTGTCACAGTGACGTTCCACAGTTCCTTGTGTCACAGTGACGTTCCACAGTTCCTTGTGTCACAGTGATGTTCTACAGTTCCTTGTGTCACAGTGATGTTCCACAGTTCCTTGTGTCACAGTGATGTTCCACAGTTCCTTGTGTCACAATGATGTTCCACAGTCCCTTGTGTCACAGTGATGTTCCGCAGTTCCTTGTGTCACAGTGATGTTCCACAGTTCCTTGTCACAGTGATGTTCCACAGTTCCTTGTCACAGTGATGTTCCACAGTTCCTTGTATCACAGTGATGTCCCACAGTTCCTTGTGTCACAGTGATGTTCCACAGTTCCTTGTGTCACAGTGATGTTCCACAGTTCCTTGTGTCACAGTGATGTTCCACAGTTCCTTGTCACAGTGATGTTCCACAGTTCCTTGTCACAGTGATGTTCCACAGTTCCTTGTGTCACAGTGATGTCCCACAGTTCCTTGTGTCACAGTGATGTTCCACAGTTCCTTGTGTCACAGTGATGTTCCACAGTTCCTTGTGTCACAGTGATGTTCCGCAGTTCCTTGTGTCACAGTGATGTTCCACAGTTCCTTGTGTCACAGTGATGTTCCGCAGTTCCTTGTGTCACAGTGATGTTCCACAGTTCCTTGTGTCACAGTGATGTTCCACAGTTCCTTGTGTCACAGTGATGTCCCACAGTTCCTTGTGTCACAGTGATGTTCCACAGTTCCTTGTGTCACAGTGATGTTCCGCAGTTCCTTGTGTCACAGTGATGTTCCACAGTTCCTTGTGTCACAGTGATGTTCCACAGTTCCTTGTGTCACAGTGATGTTCCACAGTTCCTTGTGTCACAGTGACGTTCCACAGTTCCTTGTATCAAAGTGACGTTCCACAGTTCCTTGTGTCACAGTGATGTTCCACAGTTCCTTGTGTCACAGTGACGTTCCGCAGTTCCTTGTGTCACAGTGACGTTCCGCAGTTCCTTGTGTCACAGTGACGTTCCACAGTTCCTTGTGTCACAGTGATGTTCCTTGTGTCACAGTGATGTTCCACAGTTCCTTGTGTCACAGTGATGTTCCACAGTTCCTTGTGTCACAGTGATGTTCCACAGTTCCTTGTGTCACAGTGATGTTCCACAGTTCCTTGTGTCACAGTGACGTTCCACAGTTCCTTGTGTCACAGTGATGTTCCACAGTTCCTTGTGTCACAGTGACGTTCCACCATTGACAACAAATATACAAAAGCTCATGCAAAAAAATGCACAAGTAACTAAATTTGCTCAAAGGTCACTATAAAACATACGCCACGTCGTTTCAAATCATCGAACTTTCCAAATTAATGAAAAACAAAAAGTTACAGTGTTCGAATTACTTGAAAACAAAACAAAAACAAAGAGCCATGTGGAGAAGCGGGAAGGAAGGGAGAGCGCGTGCGTCCACGACCACCGCTTGCACCACACTGACACGTCCTTTCCGTCAGCCGGCGCTCAATGCCACCCGTACCGATAATCTCATGTGCCAATTTTTTAAATTAATTTGTTGAAAAACAATATATATTAGGCTGTTTTTGAGCCAAAAAGCATGTTTAGGAAATATATCAATTAACGAAGCAGTAAAATTACAGCAAAAATATTAGTTATCGCAAGCGAAAATAGTTTTTTCTCGTGGTTGGTTCGAAGACAATATGTCGTCATGGGACAGTTCCCTAGCAATGTAGGTACTAGGCATTATCATGAGTCAAAGATAATGTACTCAGGTATCGCTGTAAGTCATTGTGAGTCGCTGTAGGTCTACAGGATTGCTTGCTAGTTTATTCCTTACCTTGTCACCCCCATATTATTAAAGGTAGGATTACAGCCTAGTAATGTAAAATTTAACCCTAGGCAATTGTTACTTATTATTGTTCACTCCTATGAGAAAATATCCCAGTTATCTCCATTTAGACGTTATGGGACCAACCAAACTCAACCAGTCAGCCACCATGGTTGATCCACAGGAAACAATACGTGCTTTAGCAGCACTTGAAGTTCACCTGACAAGACAACTCAGTAAATGTACAAATTTGTCACAAGTCTCCAGTTGATTATCAGCAGCTGGAAATCTCACCATGGGTGACTGATAACAAATTGGACCAAGTGAAAAGAATGATTGAGTTTTACCCAAATGAGCTCCTTGCCAGTGACACAACAACTGACTATATGGAGCAGATCATGTCTGACCTGGCAATGTAAGAGGATGATACTCAAGCCAGATTGGATCCCTTACTCAAAATATTAACTGCACATAAGGCAGCATCTACTATAAAAGTGTCACAATCTGCACTCAAGTCGATCGACTTGAGAATGGTCCAGGACGGACCGAAACGTCGTCATCCCTTCACTTTCTAGAGTGTGGTCTGGTCAACAATTAATTTACTCCAATGTTATTTAAACTACATGCACATATAATTTAATATTATCGTGACTGAATCGAATCCAACCTGACACTAACTAGAACGCCTACTACTAACACATATTATTCTACTAATACTAATATTGTCCCTTTTCAATATTAATTGAAATTATTTGTTGTTTAAATAATCCACATTTTATATATATTAGTAATAATATAAATTCTCAAGGATTAAACTTCCGTTTAGTAAAATATAACCTCCTCCCCATTTTTGTGAAGTGGAAATTTGATTGGTGGTATAAGTTCTATCTATATACAGCTCACTAGCAAATGAATAATCCATACAGTCCACTCAAAATAATGAAATAGTCATTCAAAATAATAAATCGCTGGTAGAGTTTCCCCACACCGGGGACTCACTAATTCACTGGGGACTCACTAATTCACCGGGGACTCACTAATTCACCGGGGACTCACTAATTCACCGGGGACTCACTAATTCACTGGGGACTCACTAATTCACCGGGGACTCGCTAATTAACCGGGGACTCGCTAATTAACCGGGGACTCGCTAATTCACCGGGGACTCGCTAATTCACCGGGGACTCGCTAATTCACCGGGGACTCGCTAATTCACTGGGGACTCACTAATTCACTGGGGACTCGCTAATTAACTGGGGACTCACTAATTCACTGGGGACTCACTAATTCACCGGGGACTCACCACCTGTGTCCCCTTGTTCGTCTTCCAACCGTGCTAAATAGTTTGTCTTTGTCCACCCTGTCAATTTCTCTAAGAATTGTGTAGGTGGTGATCATGACTCCTTTTACTCTTCTGTCTTCCAGGGACGTGAGGTTTAACTCCCGTAGCCTTTCCTCGTAGTTCTTACCTCTCAGTTCTGGGACTAGCCTGAAGGCATACCTCGAAATCTTCTCTAACTTTGCCTTGTGTTTAACTAAGTATGGACTCCAGGCTGCAGCTGCATACTCCAGGATTGATCTGACATATGTGATACAGAAGGTTCTGAATGATTCCTTACGCAAGTTTCTGAAGGAAGTTCCTTTGTTGGCCACTCTAGCATACGCCGCTGATGACTGCGAGTCACCATGGGTGAACACGTGAACACCAATCATGTGACAACTCAGCTGCCCTAAAATGATGACGCTTGTACGTTATTGTCTTCAGTAATGTTACCTTGTGTTTCCCTAGCACGAACACCCTCCCCCTCTCCCAGCCCGCCTCCTCGCTCTCTCGGCACGGCGTACCTGGCATTGTGTACGCGGCACTGCGTACCTGGCATTGTGTTCGTGGTGCTGCGTACCTGGGGCGACGACCGTGCCTGGGGCGACGACCGTACCTGGGGCGAGGACCGTGCCTGGGGCGAGGACCGTACCTGGGGCGAGGACTGTGACTGAGGCGACGACCGTGCCTGGGGCGAGGACCGTACCTGGGGCGAGGACCGTACCTGGGGCGAGGACCGTGCCTGGGGCGAGGACCGTACCTGGGGCGACGACCGTGCCTGGGGCGACGACCGTACCTGGGGCGAGGACCGTGCCTGGGGCGAGGACCATACCTGGGGCGAGGACTGTGACTGAGGCGACGACCGTGCCTGGGGCGAGGACCGTGCCTGGGGCGAGGACCGTGACTGGGACGAGGACTGTGCCTGCGGCGTCGACCGTGCCTGGGGCGAGTACCATGCCTGAGGCGACGACCGTGCCTGGGGCGAGGACCGTGCCTGCGGCGAGGACCGTGTCTGAGGCGTGCCACGGGCAGGGAGTGCGGGATACGACCAACAAGAGGCGACCATGGCGCGTGTCACGTCCTGGACTCTTTGTTATTATGACGTAACCTCTACTGGCCCGCTGCTCTCAACAGCCAATGGCAGCCCAGCGCGCCCATAACCCGGAATTTCTATTGGTTACTTACAATGAACTTCAGTGAAACGGGGTTGTCCCCGGATGCTCCAGATTCTTCATTATTCCAACCCGTCCTCGACTCAAGTCCATTACATCCAGCGGTCGACCCCACAGACGCATTCATAAATTTTTACATGCTGTTCATTCAAAACGGGAATTTCTCAAATATAAATTAATATTATGATATATTAGCACATTGTGCATATATAGGCATAGGTTAGGTTAGGTGTTTAGGTTCTGTTGGCGATTATTTGTATTTGTAGTACGTGGGTGAAGCATTTACAGCGTTGTGGTTCGAACAAAATTCGTCAGTGAAGCACTTGTTCCGGAAGTGTTCGAACGTCATCAGTTGTGAGTCGTGTGTAAACCGTTTTTCATTCATAAACAGCTGGGGTTTGGCGGGTGCATGGAATCACTTTTGGGTCTTTGTTTGGAGGACGGGCTGTCCTGCCCAGATTCGAACCCTCTCGTCTGCGGTCGAGAACGAAGTCGAATGTACTACTGGGCAGCCCGTCCTCCAAAGAGGCCAAAGTCCATTCCATGCACCCGCCAAACCCCAGCTGTTTATGAATGAAAAACGGCTTACACACGACTCACAACTGATGACGTTCGAACACTTCCGGAACAAGTGCTTCACTGACGAATTTTGTTCGAACCACAACGCTGTAAATGCTTCACCCACGTACTACAAATACAAATAATCGCCAACAGAACCTAAACACCTAACCTAACTAATTATATCGGGAAATTTATTCCATGATGATGAAATAAGCGTGGTAATGGCTTGACAAGAATGTCCCTGTACACATCTTGGCATTTTCTCCATATTAAATATAGCAGTTGCCCGCGGTGCAAATATGGATTAATTGTATGCAGACACACTAAATCTGTGTACATACTTGTAAGTTTCCATATGAATATATATTTTTTTTTGCAAATGTAGTCCATTGTTGCTCTGAAATAACTTTAGAATTATTTGCTTTATTTGAATAACATCGGAAAATTATGCACTTATTTTCTAAATCCTTAACTGCACACGTGTTTAAAGTATTAGCTTAGTTAACCAGCTTGAATTAACTATGTTTTATGTTTGCTTTAAGCTAAGAGTTTGTGAACTATTGGTTTTAAATTTGGCTTTGAATAATATTTGCATTATTGCAAGAAGCTTGCACAAAAGTAAGATTCCATAGATGCCAACACAGTTTGCAATGGTGTTCTCCTCACTATTAATGCCCGTTGAAATAGATTATATCTCGTCTGTGGCGAGAACTATATCCAAAGTTTACCAGTGATCCAAAGTTTACCAGTGATCCACAGTTTACCAGTGATCCAAAGTGTACCAGTGATCCAAAGTTTACCAGTGATCCACAGTTTACCAGTGATCCAAAGTTTACCAGTGATCCAGTTTACCAGTGATCCAAAGTTTACCAGCGATCCACAGTTTACCAGTGATCCAAAGTTTACCAGTGATCCACAGTTTATCAGTGATCCAAAGTTTACCAGTGATCCAAAGTTTACCAGTGATCCACAATTTACCAGTGATCCAAAGTTTACCAGTGATCCACAGTTTACCAGTGATCCAAAGTTTACCAGTGATCCACAGTTTACCAGTGATCCAAAGTTTACCAGTGATCCAAAGTTTACCAAAGTTTATCAACAGATCTCACTCTATGACTAACCATCCTGTGAAATGAAGATTTTTGTTAGCATCACATAGTCTAATCAACCCTTCATTGTAGTCTAGAGTACCATCATAAACGTATATGTTCCTATGTTGTTAAAAAAAATAAAACCTAATGGAAGCCGTTGTGGAATTCCCGGGGTTTTTGTTCAGTATTTTCCTGAAATGAGACGCATTACTGGCGGGAAAAAACGCCTCTCTTCTGGGGCCCCATTTGCGTTAATTTCCAAGACAAAGTGACTAACTTTCCCATAAAACAATATTCATAACGCATAATCTTTAAATGGAAATAATACGCACATTCTTCTGGGATTCCTTTTCCATCAGAATTATTTTTGTAATTGTAGTAATTATTATTACCATATAATATTATTAATAATGCAAATATTATTACTAATTCTAATGCTTTTATTAATATATTCCTTTACGCGCTACTTAGTTTGCTTTGTAGTTCGCAAGCTATAACATAATTTGAAGTTATCAGTAACACTGCGGGGATTTTATATTTTGTTAAACACTATTGTGTGTCGTAAACTATCTATTTACAAGATTTTTAAATTATTGAAACGGCATTGTGGTTTGGTGATCAGCCTCTTGTCAAAATGCCTTCCAAAATTTTGAGTATTTAGTGAAAACGAAGTTTTTATTAATAAAATAATGATAATTATTATTATTGACTTCAAAAGTAATATGGCTCTTAAATGCTAATGATTTCTTAGATACTTAAAAAACAAATATAATTTGCGTCTAACCCACGGAAATCTTAATCTAAGTTATCTTGAGGTTATCTTGAGATGATTTCGGGGCTTTAGTGTCCCCGCGGCCCGGTCCTCGACCAGGCCTCCACCCCCAGGAAGCAGCCCGTGACAACTGACTAACTCCCAGGTACCTATTTACTGCTAGGTAACAGGGGCATTCAGGATGAAAGAAACTTTGCCCATTTATTTCTGCCTCGTGCGGGAATCGAACCCGCGTCACAGAATTACGAGTCCTGCGCGCTATCCACCAGGCTACGAGGCCCCTAAGTTAGTGACAAATTGCTGTTATTTTAAATTTTTTTCAAAATATCCTAAAGTTATATTTAATTGCTGTTAAAGGATTTGTATAGATTTCTTAAAATTTAATTCTTCTTTGTTAATAAATATATTTTTGTCTTAATATACTCTTTCTTAACTAATCTTTGCAATACCCATTATAGACACTCAAACGAACTCAACCTAACATATCCTAATTCCTTCGTTACCTAAAACCTTACCCAGCCTACCCTAACTTTCTTAACCTTACCTCTCTAAGTGTACGCCAACTATCGTCTCTCCTACACTATCCTGTCTTAGTCTAAAACTGACTAAACTTATACACACTCAAATATTTCTAACAAAATCTAAGTTACCCATCCTTACCAAACGTATTGCATCCTAATCATTCATAGCCAATCATAACTGTAGCCTAAATCGAGCAGAACCGATGAAAACCTATTGTTTCTAACCTATATAGTCTATTCAACCTACAAAGACTCGTTAACCTATACACAGAGTATATGAATCTGACTAATATAAATATATCCTAAGCCCATTCTGTCTACACCTGACCTAATGGAACCTGCTGAGACCAAATCTTACTTTCCCAGTCCTGGTTTATCTTTGTGCTAACTTAGCTATGTTCCTCGCTCCTGTCTCTGAACGAGAAACATGAAGTACTTTAGAACGTGAGTATAGAATCTGGATCTTGGGTAGCGGGGCATCTTAAGACAGATGCTGCACGCACCAAAATGGTCTCGGGTGGGTATAGGCGGCATCATAAAAACTGGTGCTTCAGGAACCAGCTCATTCAAGGATTCGGTTCCCCACCAAGTGTTGCCTGTCCAGTATATACATAAACCGCCATTGGATACCCAGCAAGCTATTTCTGGAAGAATGCGACTCCTGGCGAGTTAGTGTGATCTGAGTAGTCACGGGGAAGATTGTCTTTATATCTGCTGGACAACATCAAGCAACTGTTGCTTTTAAACCTCCACTATTATTAACATCCAGAGACGACTTGATAATGGTCCAGGACGGAGCGAAAAGTCGTCGCTTCTCAATGTTCCTTTGATATTATGTACTCTCTTACTTCTGAGTTGAGGTTCGGTAATCATATTAACATCTAGATTTACCATGCTAGAACGCTGCATTTGTCTACATTATATGTCAAGGTCGAGGTCACTAATAGTGGACCACATCAGGGGACCAAGGTCACTAATGGTGGGCCACATCACCAAGGGGGGCCTCGTAGCCTGGTAAGGGGGCCTCGTAGCCTGGCAAGGGGGCCTCGTAGCCTGGTGGATAGCGCGCAGGACTCGTAATTCTGTGGCGCGGGTTCGATTCCCGCACGAGGCAGAAACAAATGGGCAAAGTTTCTTTCACCCTAAGTGCCCCTGTTACCTAGCAGTAAATAGGTACCTGGGAGTTAGTCAGCTGTCACGGGCTGCTTCCTGGGGTGTGTGTGTGTGTGGTGTGGGGAAAAAAAAATAGTTAGTAAACAGTTGATTGACAGTTGAGAGGCGGGCCGAAAGAGCAAAGCTCAACTCCCGCAAAAACACAACTAGTAAACACATCAGGGGACCAAGGTCACTAATGGTGGGCCACATCAGGGGACCAAGGTCACTAATGGTGGGCCACATCAGGGGACCATGGTCACTAATGGTGGGCCACATCAGGGGACCAAGGTCACTAATGGTGGGCCACATCAGGGGACCAAGGTCACTAATGGTGGGCCACATCAGGGGACCAAGGTCACTAACGGTGAGCCACATCAGGGTACCAAGGTCACTAATGGTGGGCCACATCAGGGGACCAAGGTCACTAATGGTGGGCCACATCAGGGGACCAAGGTCACTAATGGTGGGCCACATCAGGGGACCAAGGTCACTAATGGTGGGCCACATCAGGGGACCATGGTCACTAATGGTGGGCCACATCAGGGGACCAAGGTTACTAATGGGGGACCAAGGTTACTAATGGTGTGCCACATCAGGGTACCAAGGTTACTAATGGGGGACCAAGGTTACTAATGGTGGACCACATCAGGGGACCAAGGTCACTAATAGTCAACCACATCAGGAGGCAATTCATCAACAAAATAACCAACTTTGCTCTATAAATATATTAAGCGGTATGTTCAATTTTGTATCGAAATGTGATTTAATATTGTATGTTAAATGTTAAAATCGGA